AACAGGAGAGGGGAGAAAGGAAGAACAGGAGAGGGGAGAAAGGAAGAACAGGAGAGGGGAGAAAGGAAGAACAGGAGAGGGGAGAAAGGAAGAACAGGAGAGGGGAGAAAGGAAGAAAAGAAAACACCCCACTAGCAGCCACACTCCAACATCAGCACTGGTCCCAAAGAGGCAGGAGGATTGTGTCCCACCTTGGCCAGGTTCGTGGACTTCCCAACACCGTTGACGCCACAGAAAGTGACCACATAGGGTCGGTGATGGCGCTGGGCATCCATGACATCACGAAGGACGTCCACGCGGCGCTGGGGCTGCAGGATCTGCACCAGGGCTTCCTGCAGGGCCTGCTTCACCGTCGAGGTCACCGCTGGGAAGGAGGAGACAGAAAAAGAACCCTGTGACTCTTGGGGAATGCTCCTGAGCCCCAAAATGCAAGCAGGAAGCCACGTGGCCACTTACTGGTGAACGTTCCCATCACCTTCCCTTCCAGTTTCTTAGCTACCGACTCACAGAGCTGGACTGCAATCTCCGCTGCCACATTTTTTGCTTCGAGAAAGAGATGGAGAGAGGGGAATTAGCCCTGATGGGGAGGTTACACAATGCCAGATGCTGGCGTCAAGGCAAGGACAGAGACAGTGTGCACGATCCCCCCGCTTCTGCCTTGCTGTCAAGGGCTCCCCAGAGGCAAGACAGGAACCCATCACACCCCGTGGGCACAAATCCAACCCACAGGTGCTACCCCACACTGGGAGCACTGGGAACCCCCTCAAACTAACCCGCTCCCAGCGGATCCAGACATACCGATCAAGTGATCCTTCATCTTCTCCAGGACGGGGTCCATGTCCTCTCTTGTCAAGCTCTTGGAGCCCACCAGGCCTTTCAGCATGCCAAACATGCCCCCCAGGCCACCCTTCTTCGTGCTGCGCAGAAGCAAAGGAGTTAAGGTTTGAGGAGGAAGCTGCACAGGGCATGCAACAGCCAGATGTGAGTAGAGTCCATCACACACCAGTCTGTCCCCAGCTGCACTAGTGGTTAGACTGGAAGATTAGTTATGGGAAATCAAGAAGCCTGCAGCAAGCAAGCGCTGCAGGAGCCTCTACCTGGGCTTTGAAGGGTTCTGAATAACCTTCTCCTCTTCAGCTTCATCATCGCTCTCATACTCAAGGTCATAGAGGCGACCGGGCTCCCGATTTCGATCCCCCAGGGCCTGCGACGGGGCGAAAAAAACACACCTTGAAAATCATCCCCTGCTTAACACCGTCCCACCCCACCTGCTTTCACGGTCACAGGCAGCGACAAGAGTTATTGTCAGCAGCAGAAGCAGCTCCACGGAGACCTTTGCTGCAGGTTCACTCTGTCTACCACCAGAAAATATCCTTTAGACAGCAGCGTTATGGGCTGGGCGCTGTGATCCTTGTTTCTGGGTTCGCGACGCCCAGCTGATCCCAGAACAATACAGGAAAGCAGACAGGATGACCTGACTTTTCCTTACTGTATCAGGGTCAAATTCCTCCACGGGACAAGCCTCCGCGCTTCCGTTGGTAGCAGAGTTACTGTAATCGAGTACTTTGGCATTAGAGTTCCCCAGATCCCACACTCGGGGCTTCTTTCCCTTCTCCTTCTGTGCCTCAGGCTTTGGAGATTTGCTGAAATAAAAAACCAGAAACACATGGTGTTCAGTAGAGTGAAGCAGCAACAATCACCTCCTTAGAAGGTGCGAAAATTAAAAGCCCAAAAAGGCAGAAATAAAGGCTAAACCTGGCTGATTGAGTCTCCAGAGTTTATTTATCTGAACTTTAACCCTGTATCAGACCTCGAGCCAGGCACTGATACACCGCTGCCCTTTGCTCACAGCAGGAAAGCCTCACTAAAATGAGGTCTAGACCTCTCTCAGACACATGCTGGGTTTCCCAGGGAATGGATCAGGCTCTATTACCCCTCCAGTGTGCCCTCTCCTAGTCTTTCCAGCAAGCAGGGAAATAAGGTCCAGGAAAGCAAGGTTTGACTTCCAGGGGACACTGAAGAAAGGCAGGACTCAGCACGGGTAGACTGATTGCATCCTTGTTACCCACCTGGACTTCTCCCCTGCTTTCATGTGTCTCTTGAAGAATTCCTCCCGGTTCTTTTGCAAGATTTCATCCTTGGTCAGTTCCTCCCTGTCACCGGCCGTGGAGAGCTGCTTGTCACCCGCAGATGCTTTACCAGGTGCCGCGACAGCTTCAGTTCCTGACAGAAATAGCCCCGACACCAGCTCAGACCAGCCTCTGGGTGCTACGAGAGGGCTGGGAACACAGGCTGGGACACGGAGCTCTGGAATATGTATTTTTCCCCCCTTGTACCTTTCCCAGCAACTCACCTTCTTTTTTAGAACCTTTGTTCTTCTTGTTCTTGACTTTCTCCTTTGGTTTCTCCCCTCGGGTTTCTATCATACACTTGACAGTCTTCTGGGACTTGAGAGACTGCTCAAACGTCTTCATTACCGTGGGAGCTCGGACTTTACTGCTCTCCTCTGCATCCCTGCAGGGAAGTGGCCCGTTAGCCTGAATTCCAGCTCTGCCCCTCCCTCCTCCCCATCTATCTCTCTTCTAAATGGAAACGAGAGAGAAAAAAAATCAGGCTCTGCTACCGGAGAAGGCGCATGAAGTCATCTTTAAAATCAAAGGTGCCATTTAGGAGGCCCAGGGTGCCTTTCTGCTGGAACTCATTGCGATATTTGTCTCTGAACTCCTTATGAACGTCGTCTATCAACTTGTCAACGTAGGTTAGCGTCAGGATCTTCTGAAACCCCACCTGCAAAAAAATGTTGCTTTTTCAGCTAATTGAATCACTGCATCTAGCTGGCAAGGAAGCGAAAACCTCTCCACTTGATACTTTTAATTCTTTAATTTTGGCAGGCTTCAGGTTATGTTTTTTAGTCCGAGTTTCCAAGCTTTTAATGCGCTCTCAAAAAGGAAAAAAAAATAATGGCAAAACCCAGAGCTTCACTTTAGAAGGCGACGCCAATAAAAATGGGTTGACTGTTTCATGGCAACAAAGACACGTAGTGAAAGACCAGAAAAGCATTTTGCTTATCTTTAGGTACACAATGAAGGTTGTGCAGATTTACAGAGATAAGGTACAGGGAGACTGAAAAGGAGAGCATTAAAATATTTGCTGAAGTAAAAGGGGTGACATGTTTCTTACTATTTAAAAATAGATCTGGTCAAAGTAAAAAGTTTGATGAGGATGTGGCAGCCTGCAGGTCTTCTCTTCGAGGCTTAATGAGTTTTAATCCTATCACAGATGATTAAACTGCTACTGCAGCAGTGTGTGACCAAGAAACACCCACATCCACCCACCGAGCTCCCTAGGGGAGGAGCACGGGCAGCCTGGCTACACTGGGATCGCCGCTCGACCCCAGGAGACTCCTCTGGAGCCAGATACAGCAAGACCTACATTGTACCTCCTCACCCCCAAAAAACCCCACAGCCAGAAGGAGCTAACCCAGTAACGGGAGTCAAGGGAGTCAACCCACACAATTAAAGCATCTATTTGCTTAAACCACAACAAGCTGATAATTGCTCTCAGTTTTCAGAACAGATTAGCACTAATATGCGGGCCATTTTTCCTCACTAGAGGCTGATGGGCCCCAGTTTCCCCACGTGAACAGGGGCAGCTGCTGGCACAGGGAGGAGGAAGAAAGCAACGTGCCAAGAAAGGCCTTCACGCTCTCAACACACAAGCTGCCTGTTTTCCCAAGCGGCATCGATGAAGCCTCCTCGCCAGGTCAGCTGATGATGTTTTGGGAAGGCAAGGGAAAGCTTCACCCCTTCGGGAAGGCATTAAACAGATTTTTTCCAGCCAATTCACAAACTAGTACCCCCCTTTTCTGGAGCAACACCCCTCCCTCGGGGCTTTAGGGCACACCGGGGGGCTGAAGGGCCACCCCAGGGGTCACTTACCACAAACACCAGCTCAAACTGGTTGTCCAGTTTGTACTTAAGTGTGAGGGCTTCATGGGTGAAGGAGTTGTTGCCGCCTCGCTCCTAGGGGGAAAGAACCGTTGGAAGAGGGTTGCCAGACCCTCCTCCCATCATCCTCGTCCCCCCCACCCCCCTGGGCAGGTGGTCTCATCCTTCCCCTCCAAAAGGGTCAGTTGTCGCCCCTAAGGCAGGTGGTCCCAGCCCCCCCCCATCCCAAGTAGATGGTCTGAAGCACGTCCGCTCCCCCAGGTATGCGGGTCCACCCATTCCCCCCTTCCCAGGGGGGTGACCCCCACCCAACAGCGTCTGTGTCCCCCCCCGCGGCAGCAGATGGTCCCGCCCAATCGCCGTGTGTGTATATG